TTTCACTTATAACATGGGGGAAATGTCCTTTCCCACTGGCAGATTATTGCACTTATAGCCCGTATCATCAACATTAAGAAATTATAATCTAAAAATAAGCTCCTATATCTTGCTGAAAAGTTGCTTGTCAGTTAGCTTTGTCCTATTTCAAGTCCACTAAGACATTTGTAGTAGAAAGTAGACCAAATATTTCCTAAGACTTTGTGTTTTTGCATTGCGGAGGGAAAAGCTGACAACATTACTGTTTATGATGGTGACGTCTCTGTCTTTGTAGTGCTCCGTCAGCGTCACAGACGACTCCTGCTTAGAGGCCACGATCCGGACCGTCCGGCTGCTGTCGGAGCACTCCGCCTGGGCCGTGGCTCCCAGCTCCGAGGCCTTGTAGCCCAGAGAGTCGGGCAGGGAGAAGGAGGCTCGTGTGGAGTCTCGACAGTAGGACTTGTACCACCACTGCACCACCGGAGGTTTGCTGGAGGACGTCTGATAGTGGCAGCGGAGGACCACGGACTGGAAGAGCATGGCGTACTGCTTCTTCTCCCGCACTGTGACGTGCATGCCATTACACACGCAGACTGACACAAGCACAGACAGAGACGGACTCTGATTAACATTTTTTTATGACACTGAAAGAACAACTGTACAAACTGAACTCTTATTCCTGGATATTTGGTATGTTAACTGGGACTGAAGCGATTGATTTGACTAATCGTGATGAATCGATTAGTAACTCAGCAATCAATTTTAAACGTCCATGTGCTGAAAGAACAACAGCCATATAATTGATTAATCCAAAATTGTGCAAAAATTATTTGCATTTGAGATAAAAAATAATTCAAAACCTCTTCTCCACTGGTAAGTGTTTTGTAGTTTCTCATAGGTTTTCTTCCAAAATTTGAAAAGCGCCTATTTTGTTTTCACTTCATAAATGTGCTCTAGTTTATATTGGCTTATTAATGCTGATGTGACATATTGACATTTGTTTACAGTTCTTTACAAACAACCATTATCTTGTTCATATGCTGTCACATTGCAACCACATAAAACATTATTAACAATATTGTATAAAGGCCTGAATTTGTAATGGCCGATTAACAATTTACTGTGTTCTCTTTGCTCTGCAATAATTGATCTGACCAACCCAACTTTCAGACTTGAAAAGGTTTACTTTCAGCTTCACATCTGAACATTTTCCAGAGTGTATTTTTCACTCTGAAATTTAGAAAGTTTCTGACTAGGTAGACATACAAACAATTTGCTTTGCAGCGGTTCCTACTACAGCCTGGACCAAATAATCTGGACTTTAATTCTGGGATTAAAATGCACTTCATGGTAGCTTTTAACAGGTAATGGTTAATAGCATTTTTTTTCTTGTTGTTGTACCTGCTAATTGATTATTTTTTGCCGCTCCTTTAGCTTACTGGTTTTGAAGGAACATCTTTATGGCTGGAAAATGCATGTAAATTACAGTTTTATTTCTGTAGAAACAGCTGTAGATCTTCTTTATCTGTGCAGCAGATTCAGGATAAGAAACTGTAATTTGCATCGCATCAAAACGGGAGAAGACAGGAAGAGAGATTAGGTGTGTGGGGGATCCTCTGCTGTTCGGGCTCTGGGGTCACAAGGTTAAATTCCAGTGTAACGTGTGGGGAGTGGGGGAGGACTGATGGGAGCCAGGGGCACTGTGATCACACAGGGAGGGGATGAAGCAGTCAGATGCTCGTGAGTAATGCCTGAAAGTCATTTTAGCTCTAGGTGGGGCAGGAACTGGTTTTAAACATTTCCCTCAAGACAGGAAATGAAAACAAAAGCAAGTCCACCATTTTGCCTTTCCTTCAGAGCAGCAGGAGAAGCACTTACCATGTGTTTACCATGTTTATTTACTCTCTTTTAATTAAAAAACATGCCAGGCCCTGATTAGAACAATTAGTTCTGTTCTTCTACTCTGTAATAACCAGTTTAATTAATAAAACTGTAGTTTTATTTCAACAGTTCTAATCAGTCAGTGGTCTAAAGCACAAAGCATTCAGAAAGATGTAAACTACTGACTTTAAAAAAAAAATTACAATAATGAGTCAAAATAACTCAAACCAGACCCTGGAATCTAATTTGCTGATTTTTTTTTTTTTTTTTTTTTTTTTTGGCTTATGGCTGTAAGAGAAAGACCTTTAGACTCAGTAAACCTTTGGTGGGAGACTTGAATATGTTTTTCATAAGTAATGGTATTTATTGATGTTTCATAAGTAAAGTTATATTATTGGAAAAAAACAATAAAATCTAAATATTAGGATGTTTTAATCTTGATTTCATTCAAATATTTTAAAATGAGATATTTTTCATTTTAAAACTAACTCTTTAAAAATCAATTTAACAATTATTCCTTAATATTTTTTGTCTTATTAATTTTAACTCTCCGACATGACCTGATTATGTTTCTGCCTCATGAACACTTGTTTTACGGAAATCCAGTTTTTTCACATGTCGCATATTCCGAATCCTCCACCCTGAACTTTAACCTCACAACTTTACGTTCTGCAAACAGAATTGTGCACAACGTGGACTGAGATCCTGAATTCCTCCAGTGGAGGAGCTGCGGTCTTCCCTTTGTTTCCTTCTTTATGGAGCTGACCATTGTTCCCCACTCTGCTGTCCCAGTTGAGGAGATGGAGTGGGGGGAAGGAGGTCACAGACTCCGAGCCAATAGGAGAGTCCGGCCTCATACTGCTGGCTCCGAACAGACCAATTAGCCACTGAAGATTTAAACCAAACGTTCCTCCATCAGCTCCATGAATGCATTCAGTTTGTTGTGCGAGGAGTTTTGAATAAGCAGAGAGGAAAACGTCTGTATGCATCATGAAGCACGTGTGTTAACCATTGTTTACTGTGTTTGAGGCTGTGGTTTAATAGGCAGGTTCCTCGCCACCTGTGCTCTGACTGAAGGTGTTATTTCAGTGTTAGAGGAGCCGTTAAAACAGTATGTGGTATTCTAGGTCACAGCTCTGCTGCTGGACGCTGCTCGTTTCCTGAACACGGTCAGGCTTTTCCTCCCAAAACCGTCACATTTCCTGCCTTTTATTCTCCCTGCAGTGCATTCCTTCACATCGACTCATTATTCCAACAGATGCCACTGATAAGACTGAAAATAGACTCAATGGTTGATGGAGGATTGCTCGGCAATTTCAAAAAGCACCCAGAAGTCAGGAAATTAAGCTTTGTTGCTTCCAAGCTTAATGTCAAACATCCTTTGAAGCTCATATCTACGCAGGATGGAATCGACCTTATGATGTGTCCATATAATGTTATTACTATTGTTAGTTTTTTTTAATGAACTACTGCATAGACTATTTCACAACAACTTTGTGGATTTACTCCTACTTTGCTTACCGGTCTTTGGAAGCTCCTCCTAATTTTTTCACATGCAGATGCAGATTCTCCACAAGGTATAGAGGTGCTGCATTTGTTTTATGTAGTGACATTTGGGGGGTGGGGGGAAACACCTATTTGTAAGAATAGAAAAAGTATTTGTAACTTTTCTCTTAAGATATTTTCACAAAGTAGTTATTGTTAATGCTTGAGATATTTTCCAAACTGATTTCTTAAGGTTTATTTTAGATTCCATGTTGGTAATTTTGCATTTTATTGCTGTACTTCTTTTTTCTCCCTACTGTCTCTGTTGTTACTGACACAAGTGCAGACTATGATTGTTTCATTTAGTATTGTTCATACTACCGCAAACCTTTTGGTTTATTTGGATTGTTTTCATTCACTTTGTACTCTTCCTAACCAGCTATACTTTGTATATTATATAATGTATAATGCAAATACATTAAAATTACAAAAACTACCAGGTACAATTCAGTTATAATTGCATTAATTACCAGTAACATCTCCAAACAAACCCCTTACTATTCCAAATACATATAATTTTTGCTACATTTGAAAAGCTTACATAGTCTTGCAGACACAGTGTTGCTGCATCACAAATTCTTCCAACAGCAAAGATTCAACACCCTGAGAAACATCCACAATGATTGATGACAACCAGCAGCCAACTGCACTAGGCAGGCTTTCCCAGAAGCCAAAAGACACGTGAAGACAGTTCAAAAACATTTGTCCAAACCACGGCTATCAAGGGGAGCCTGTCCAGTTTGGCTCGGCGAAGATAAACCCTCAACCCCTCGGCAGGTCCCTCGCTGAGGCCAGCGGGTTTGGGATAAGCTCAAGTTTTACGGGCGCAACCTGTTGCGCTGCTGTCGAGAACAGAAAGGCTGTTAAAACAATGCGGTCATAAACTCACCCGAGGCTCCCAGTAAAACTGCCAACCGGTAAAAGTTCATCATATATTCCGTGTTTATGGCGAAACGGCTTTTCCCCGCATGTTAACGACGTCGATGTCCGCTCTGAGTGCCGCTGCTCCAGACCGGAGGCAGGCTGCGTCTAACGGGACTGTACCACTCCACTGAGGAAGGGGGGCTCCAACTGGCTGAGAAAACACTTTGACACTAATTAGAAAGAAGAAGAAGAAGAAGAAGAAGAAGATGCTGCACGCTAATGGTGTCGCCAGAGTAATTTATTCATCTCGATGTAAAAGTTCACCTTGGCTGCACAGAACACACACAAAAATTACTACAAATGATCGATTAAGACACTTAACGTGGATTTTGTGGAACAAAAAAGAAAATCCTATGTCTATTTTTTATTTCTGTGATAGACGCATGAAAAAAAAACATAGTAGTTACAAAATAAACTAAGATTACAGACACTATACAAACTTATTCCCGAATTTCATTAAAAGATGCAAAACAGTACTCTCTCTCTATCTATCTATCTATCTATCTATCTATCTATCTATCTATCTATCTATCTATCTATCTATCTATCTATCTATCTATCTATCTATCTATCTATCTATCTATCTATCTATCTATCTATCTATATATATATATATATATATAGATATATATATATATATTAAATATATATATATTTTTTTAAATCGTCCAAATACATTCATCAATGCAAAACCTTAATTAATCATTTAAAATTTCAGTATACCGTATAATTGATTCTGTAGGTTGACAGTCTAGTTTCCACATACACTAACCATGGCTCTTTGCACTAACACGATTAAAGAGTTTAGTATAAAAACTTTTTCTAACAAACAGGCTATACAACATGCAAACATAACATTTATGCCATAATCATCCCTCATCTATTTCTTTGCAAGCAACAAACTCAAATCCACTATGTGTTTTGACACTTTCCAATAAGAACAATTAATGTCTTTAACAATCTGAGCTGCAGAAGCGCCCCACTCCTCTACACTTTTGACAGACACTGACCACTGCAGACCTAGTGCAGTAAGAGCAGAAGTTTTAGAGATGCTTTGAGCCAGTCATGTAGTGATCAGTTTTTGGAGTCCCTAAGCACGCCAATATTTTCAGCTTTCAATAAAGTAGCTTTGAGCATTGAATTTCTCCTTACTGCATCTTGCAGAGACACCCAAATAATATACACCATTGTTGAAATACAGGACTGACAGCATTGCAAATCACTTCAAAACCTTTTCCACAGCTAATGCGACATATCCTGTGTAATTCAACTGAAAAACAATCAAATTTCACATCACAAAAAGTTGTAATTTTCTCAGGATGTGGAGATTTTTACAAACCACTGTGGATCCTACTGTGGATTGGATGCATAATGAAACAAATGATTCACTCTTCCTTTCAGTGGCTGTAATATTATGCCACCGACTGGTGGATAATTATACTAATTATACACGTGTGATCAGTTTCTGCATTTCGTGCACAATTTTAGCATACAAAACTATTCTAAATAGTGAATTCATCCACTTTATATTTACTTTGCCCTAATTGGCATTTAATTATAGGAAGACGAGCCACCAAGAATGACCAGCTATAAATTGTGATTTTCATGTAGGGGAGTTCAGTACGTCTGGATCACAAACATTAATTATGTTAAACTAAATTATTGCTGAGTCTTAAATGTAAAAAAAAAAATCCCTTTTAAGACATTAGGCATCCATGGACAATAGTACCTTTCTTTATGCCACAAGCTTAGAGGGTCAAAGGGTAATAACCTGTACTTGTATAGATCTTTATCCAGTCAGAGGACTCCAAAGTGCTTTACTCTACATTCAGTCATTCAAACAGAGATGGCGAGGAGCTACCTTGTAGCCACAGCTGGTCTGGGGCAGCCTGACAGTGTCAGTGTCACCAGGCCCTCTGACCACCTGCAGCAGGCAAAGAAGGTGAAGCGTCTTGCCCAAGGAGACAATGACTGAGACTTACTGAGTACTCTTTTCTGAAGAGTACTCAGTAAGTCAACATTAAACATATGCATATTACTCATCTCAGTAGTCAATGCGATCGCGACTACCACGGTACAAGTCTTGATCACGTTGATCGTCAAGTCGATCTCTACTGCCACGGCGATCTCTTTGGTCGTCAAGACGATCCCGACTTCCGTAGCGATCTCTTTGGTCGTCAAGACGATCCCGACTTCCGTAGCGATCTCTTTGGTCGTCAAGACGATCCCGACTTCCGTAGCGATCTCGACTTCCGTAGCGATCTCGTTGGTCGTCAAGACGATCCCGACTTCCGTAGCGATCTCGTTGGTCATCAAGACGATCTCTGCTGCCATGGCGATCTCGTTGGTCGTCAAGACGATCTCTGCTGCCATGGCGATCTCGTTGGTCGTCAAGACGATCTCTGCTGCCATGGCGATCTCGTTGGTCATCAAGACGATCTCTGCTGCCATGGCGATCTCGTTGGTCGTCAAGACGATCCCGACTTCCACGATAATAATCCTTCCGATCTCCTTGGTAACGCTGGGAATCTATGTCACTTCCCTTTCCGTCGTGCCTTTCTAAACCACTTCTGTAACTCTCCTGGTCATCATCAAATGTCTTTCCTGCTCCACCTGTGGTGTAATCGCTTTGAGGAGCAATGTATTTGACTTCATTCTGATTAGACTTCTTCTTTTCAGTGTTTGACTTGTCATCCGTGTATGGCTCTCCCGCTTCAGGACCTTCTTTGTCGTAATACACCTTATCTCCATGGGGACTAAAACACAAACAACAAACAAGTTATAAATGGTTACACGACTGACACAGAAAACTCTAAGAATTACACATTTGTTGATTTGTTCGTTTGATTAGTGAATGATTGCATACCCCTCGTCATCAGCCTCGTTTTTATTCTTTCTTCTGCAGCAGCAGAAAATGAGAATCCCCAGAACCAGAAGTCCAGCAGCAACTGCTCCAATTATAATTCCAGTGGATGCAAAGCTCATACTGGCTAAGAGAATAAATAAAAAAAAAACATTACTCCATCTTTGAACTGTTTTGACAAAGAAGACAGATGGATACAATGAGAGAAAACGAATCAGGCAATGTGTGATAATCTTTAATGTAGTGATGATATAAATGTTATTGTAATAAAGTGTGGATATTAACAATTTATGTCGGTCTACAATTTTATTGTTGTGAAGAAAACTAGACATTCTGGCTGGGATTTTTTTAAACAAAAATGTGTTTTGAGATTCTTTCTGAATGAACATAGTAATTTAATATGTTTACCTAAAAGATTATATAAATTTCATTTAGATGTCAATAACTTCCTTTTGGACCTAATTAAATTATTCAACATGTGTTGCTAAAACAATGATTTTTAGTGCCAGATAAATGTTTTGTGTACTTTTCTATCCACAAAAATGAAGGAATACGATGTCTTGAAAAGCAGAGCACACCCAAAACATTTTCACCTTTTGTTATGTCACAGTTACAATGTATTTTATTGGGATTTCATGCTATAGAAAAGTTTAAAGTGTTGGTTGCGCTAGATTTTATTCAGGGCTCTCGGCATAAAAGGGAATGAAATCAAATGTACACCAGACTTTTCAGTCTTTTACCTGTAAAATATCCTGAAACTGTTTTTCTTCCACTTCACTGGCTTGCTTTCATCACTCTAGCATATGATGGAAACTGATCTGGTATGCACACAAGTTGTTGGATTGAAATGTTTTAAAATACTTACGTGGCATGACAGCTAAGGTAAAGTTGCAGCTTGCAGAACCAATGGTATTTTTCGAAAGACAGATAAAGAAGCCAGACGTCTCCCTTGTAATATTGAAGAGAGACAGAACTCCATCCTCTGCAACAACATCATGCATGTTAATCAGAATATGTGCAACATACACACCAGGCTGGATTATAAACATGTTTTTTCAAAACATGATTGGTTTTAATGCATACCCTGTGTTGTCTTTGGGGGAAATTGTCTGGGAATGTTTTCAATACTGTAGCTCGTCCAGGTATAGACCGGAGCTGGGGAACCCTCCTCAGACTTGCAGGTGAGTGTGATGTCAGTGAAATACTGTGCTTGTCCCTGAAGTGTGCATACTGGTTTAGAGGGAGGCTCTGAAATGGAAAATGTTTTGGATTTAAACATAAACTACAAAAAAATAGTGTATGTTTTTCCATCTCTGAACAGTCAATCTGTAAAGAACACCCCTTATTCTATTTTCCAACAATATAAAAAAAAAAAAAAAACACAAACAATTTACAAAAGAATTAAGTTTACATGTTCTTTGCGACATTTTATGTAGCACATTGCAGTTTAACTAAGAGAAAAACCACACAGTGTATTACATAATTGTGAAGTGCAACAATCAGAATAGGTGGTTTCCAACATTTGTTTACAACTAGAGATTTGAAAAGTGTTGCGTTACATCTGCCAGAAGAGCCAAAGGCTTTTGCAGCTTATAAAAGGTTTTTCTCTAGTACTGGATACTATTTATCTCCAATCAACTTCCCATCAACTATCATCCGTATCCTTTTTCTGATGAAGAAAATCATCTTTAGTGCATTACGCTGCAGATTTTGACAACAATAAATCGTTTCCTTACACTTTACAATTACATGTTGATCTGACTGCAACATGTGATCCTATTAGAATACATTGAAGTACATGGTTGTAATGTAAAAACATTTGAGAAAGATAAAGCGAGATGACTATTTTTGCAAAGTATGTCTTTACACAAAATAGCAAGAGTATGGCAGGTGAAGACAGAATAGGGTGAAAGGAAATCTTGAGTAGATGACAGATCACAGCAGAACAAACCAAATACAAACTCATAAACACTGAAAACAGTGAAGAGAAAAATAGAAGGTAATAATCCCTTTGTAAATGAGCTAATCTTTCATTTATTGAAGTAGGCATATTTGTTTCCTGTAAGGGTCTTACTGATTGAAATAAAAAAAGGCTAATATTGTCAACGCAACCTCTATAAGTGTGTCGCTGCCACTTCAATAACCCTTCTTTTCCATTTGAGTTTAAGATTTTAACTAAATATTTTTATACAATACGTATTTATCAATGAATGTAGACAGACAGACAATCAAGAACATAAAGCTCGCCCTTGAGTTAAATCTCACCAAGAACTAAAACAGAAGTGGAAGCGATCGGTGTTCCCTCATCATCATTGGGGATTCTGACGCTGCATTGATAATGGCGACTGTCTTCCATGGTCAACTGTTTTAAGTGGAGCTTCGCCAATCCCCCGTCAACATCAACCTCCAGGGTGGCTCTTCCTTCATATGATGGAGCGATGTCAACAGGACTGTTCATAAAGAAGGAGGCCACTGGTTTCTGGAGCAGGAAAACACAGATTTGATAGAAAAGGATAATCCATAAATTGCTACAATCCTTCACGACAATACAGATCCATCATAGTGATAGCTCTTACATAATTTCTAATATTCATTCTAACCTTTCACATTTCCTCAGTTTATAGTACTTTATGTGCTCTTATCAAAGATAAATTACTAAGTATTAGAAAACAAAATGTGTTCAGTTAATGCTTACAGAGGTTGTTTTTTTTTTCTGACCCGTTTAAGCAGGACTGCAGTTTTGTGCATAAAGCAGTTCTGATTCATTCACCCATTCATCATCCACGGGACAAAGGTCACTACCTCATCACATCCAATAAAAGCATGAATCAGATTTATTTCGCTGCATAAACACTACGTTTTATTGAAATTGTTAAGGCACCTAAATGTCATAAATGTGTTAATTTCCTTTAGCTTCAGAAGTATGAGCTTCTTTGTGTTGGTCAAAGAAAATCACAACAAAATACATTTAAATTTGGTGGCTGTAACATGATAAAATGTGGACAAATTAAGTTATTTGTTTTATATGGACTTTTAAAACTTCTCCATTTTTTCAATTGATAACATCAACTGATCCCAAAGTTTCCGAAGTGAGTTGGTTTAGATTAGACCCTTTCACTGTATCATAAACCTGCGATTTACCACCAACATACTCGAAACCACCCAGAAAGTATCTCTGCTTTAGATCTTGTACATCTTACCGATGGGATGCCCACAGTGTCCCATGCCAGGACAAAGTTAGTTGTTATAGGCTTAGCAGGGATGAAGGAACAGGTCAGTGTAACATCATCTCCTTTTGCCACCCTGTATTCCTTTTCTTTGATAGACACTTGCACACTCCAACAGCAGGGCAAAACTACAAAACAAAAGAATAAAAATATGATAACACACGAACAGTATGTCAGTAACTTTTTATTTCAATATACTCAGGGGGAGAGAAATCTTGATATTCATTTGAAATATCATTTTGACCAACTGATCTCTTTCTAGTAAAACATAATCCTGCTTCAAGTAGGACGGCAATGGAATAGTTACTGATTAACTACAGTGATACGACCATTAAGGTGTGGCAGGTTTAACAAAAAATAAAAATGAACAAAAACATAAAACCTACCTGCTAGTAGAAGAATTTGTTTTTGCCATCCAAAATGCCTTCCCATTGTCATTTTTTAAGTCGAAGACTAAAACATTCACCAGAACAGATGCTCTTTGACGAGGAACAGGAGCCTGCCTAACCTTCACGGTGAACTCCTGTGTTGCCTATAGGTGTGGAGAAGTTGACTCTTCCAGGTAATGAGTTAACAATATGTGTCACATGTCAATCGACGTCCAATCACTAACTTGCTTTTGTTTGAATTTTTACTTGTAAAGATAAGAAAAGGGGATCTACCAATCATACAGAAACCACACACAGATTTTGTCTTATAGGTCAACAAAAAGTTGTTCATCACAGTGAAATAAAAGGAAGAAGAACACATTGTTACAAAGAGAAAGGTCTAAAAAGCGTTGCATGCATGTGTAATGTGTCCTACTTAGTTAATACTTTGCTCCAATTAATGTCACTATTGCCTTATGAAAATAAGCAACCCTCAGTCATATTTAATTAGTTTTACTAAATCTAACACATTATCCTTTAATAAAGTTCTGCATTACCTGCATCTTTCTTCCCAGCGACTTTGAACAGCTTGTTGCTCCCTCTACTATGTTGTGCAGATTGCCAGAAAGAGATGAATGCAGAGACTTTCTCGTCCTATAAATGTATATATGGTATACAGCAGCTCGTGTTGTATACCATTTGACCTGCAGGTAGCACCATTGCGCTGAAAATAGCCCGTCACATTTAAATGAATGAATATTATTGCTGAATTATAACAGTGTAAAAAGCTCATAAATGTAAAAGACAAATAAGAAGGTATTTCCTTGATTTGCTGAACTTCTTCTTCAAAACTTGTTGCAATAAACTGAAACCAGAGAACCACAGTTATGTAAAATAAATTAGAACAAGAGATCTAATATTGTTTCTTACGGTTTCATATAAAATCAGGTTAAAATTTCTTTGCGTAGGAAAAATTATGTAATAAGTGACTGTATTTCTTGTTTTGTAAATATGGGAACAATAAGTATATCTTTACCTCTTAAACGTTAAAGGTTTCATGATTTTGGGTTGTTTGAGTTGGTTTTGGGTTTTACTAATTTCTGTGTTCCTTGGTTCCTTTTCGTTCATTAGATGACCTGTATTTCTGTTTTACTTTGGTTCAGTCCTTTGTTAGTGACTTTAGTTTATTAGGTGAATTTGTTGTGTCTCTCCTTTCTTGGATAGTTTTATCATGTTTACTCATTCTTTAGCATTAGATTCACTTCCTGGTTCTCAGTGTGCTTTCCCTGGCTCCCATTTGTCGCTCCCCTCACACCTGTAACTTGTTAGTTCATCTGCTCAGGTCTTTGTTTTTCCAGTATTCATTATCTCGGTATTTAAACCCTTTTCCTGCTTGCACTCTTTTCTGGCTCCTCCTTTTAAATCCCAACCATTCCTGTTTACCCGCCGTTATGCACCCCGTGTTCCTGGCTCCAGTTTTGTTCATGCTTTTGTAATCTCCCGGCTGCTTGTAAATTTGTTTTTTTCAGAATTATTTTCATGAAACCTTCACCACCCATTTGACGTTTGCGCCTCTGGGTCCACATCAACGTCCACACAACATGACAATAAGTCTGGATCAAGTTCCTCAACATTTGACAGAACTGCCAATTTATTCGTTATGACTAGAGTCAAATTTAGGGTATTTTTCAACATATTTCTCACGATATGTTTTGAGCTGATTACTGAAATGATGTAATTTATTCAGAGTTGAAGGCCACTTACAATGTCCATGTTTACTTTGACACACATGAAGAAATCATGTAAAAATAGTAAGTGGTTTATTTACACTTTGGAAATGCATAATTACAATGGATGTTACAGGTTCTTATATAAAGTCATGCATAGCTCTTTGCATTATAAGTCCTTGTATTTCTTTCATGGTTGGTGTGTTCTTCAGATTACAACCTTTATTATCTAATTATGTTTGCTGGTTAAACCTCAAGGGGTTTTTATTACTGTTCCTGTTATTTGTTGCCAAGTTTCAACTTGTTTTAGAATAAATTAAAGCAAAACATAAAAACTTACACAGCAGTTCAATGGCGTGAGTAAAGAAAATGGTGTGATTTCAAGGGTTTTAGTGCAATTCACTTCTATGGGTAATTTGCAGGAAGTGGTAGGACATCAGTAAAGTTATTTTGGCTTAACATCCCTATATATTGGAGAAGTGAAATTGTCTTTGTGTGGTCAAATAGAGATCAAAACTCTCTAAGACATTATGTTTGGACAGAAATCATTTGTATTTTTTCTTGCCCATAAACAGTCAATATAAACAAAAATCAAAAACAGAAAATTCTGTTGCTTACATTCACTCATTAAAATCTGCAATCTGTACCAGAGAACATTTTTCATCCAACGATCAAAATAAATCAGCAGTAGCGATATGAAAACCCAAAATGTGGTTGAGCAATTGAAATATTGCTGAAGCCCAAATAAACAAGAATAATGCTCTCAAAAACTGTTAAAGTAACTTTGGGTTCTCAATGCAGGATAATAATATCAAGCAAGAAAAAAAATAATCTCATCTGGAGGCACTTTGTTAATAAGAAAAAAAGTTGGTCCAAATCATATCTAATTATAGAGACAGATGGATTAGTTGCATGTAAATTTGAATTTCTGCAAATTAAATCAAATAAGTCCAGTCCATACTAATATAATGCAGTCAAATGGTTAAAGACCTGAATTACTTACAGTCCAAATAAAATTATAAAGCAATCCAGTCAAGTTAAACTAATTGCATAATGGCTGTTAGTTGAAAATGTGTCTAATCCTGGATGATTGCACATTCACTCTGCAACAATCCCTCTATGAGATCAAGTATAAAGCAACAGTGGAAAGGAAGCACTTCCCGCCACTTAGCATCAGCAACCATGTGGTAGATCTTTGATGGTAGGAGAACATACAGCAGAGACAACACTTTCTGAGGAAACTGAAACAAACATCACAACCTACCAACGTCCTCACAATACGCAACAGTCTGGGCTCATCTTCATTTCAGCCTGATACTCCAGTATCCACAATATGACAAAAAAAAACAAAAAAAACAAGTTCTGCTTGTCCCTCCTCTTTGATTCAGATTATTATTAGACTTTTTGTACATGCTTCATCTTGTTTGTGTGTTTTAATCTAATTTTAACAATGATAATAAACTGATTGCATTTAATATGTTACAACAAAGAAAATCATAACAAAAAACAAATTAATCTTGAATTTTATTTCTGAATATTCAACTTTGTGTTTAGTCACCCCTTTTGGAGTACCAATGGTAACTGATTCAGATAAGCAATGATTATTTTGCTTTCTCTGCTACAAACTCTGAATACAATTTATGGATAAATATGTGGTTAGTGACAGAGAGACAAGTGTGTCTAAATGTGTATATCATCAAAAAGTTAATTAATTTTACTCCAAAAAGGGAAACTTGTGTCATATTGACTCATTAGAGTCTTTATCTCCGTTTTGTTTTTTAATGAAAATCAAGCATGGTTTTTCAGAAAACGTAAATTAAAATGGGATTATTATAAATACGGACATGTCAGTCTAATTAAAAGTGTGCCCATGTACTGCATAGTAAGTGCACTTTTTGACAAGCAACATGATTGTGACGCCTTTGAGAGTTCAGCCCTAAATATCTCGCAAATTTGAAATTGAGCTTTTCCATTTTCTGCAACAATCGAAATATCTTATTGTGTGCAATAAATTTGATTACTACAACAAATCCACCTCTCCATAACATTGGTATTTATTGAGATGTTTGTGTGATTAAAAACTGTCAGCTCAGGAAGTCAGTCTGTTTTGAATAATCACTCCAGAGACGATTTTAAACTTTCAGGTCTACTCGGGCTTCCCCTCCGAGGCCTTTTACATCCAAATTCGCAGTGAGAGGGAAACTGTATTATTTATGTATGTAAATATGCCACAGCTCACAATAAATCGAAGAGCCTGCTCTGCCTTGCTTCTTCTGTTTCCTTATGTGAACATGAGGTCTAGACTTTATGAGGTCTAGACTTTGTATTTCGACGCGGAACACAACCACTGTATTTTACGCGCTACTTGCATAAAGTACAACAAGGTATTTGTTTAGTAGTGTTTCACTGCGTGTGTGTGCGTTTAGGTGTGTGTGTGAGGCAGGCAGGCAGGCTCAGGGTTGGGATTTCGGGTTAAATATTCAAAATGGCGGACGGAGGAGCAGCGAGTCAAGATGAGAGTTCAGCACCAGGTAATGATTACAGCATTTTACATATTCATACTCATATTCAAACTGCGTTACTCGCAATTTATGATTGCAGAGTGCAGATGAAACACAGAACGACCGGCCGACGTGGACCACGTTAGGCTTTGTTTTAGTTTACACACAGCTAGCTTAAACTGTAATTTGACAGAGGAGGAAACGAGCTGTTGCAGTGCGACGCAGAAATACATGGAAACATGCCTCCCCCCTTTGTGTGATTAGACGGCCCGTACGCCGCTACATATTCATACCTCGGTCGACAAATACAACTTAGCATATTTTATTAGTAATCGCCGTCGTGGCTCGGGTTCATATGTAGCGTATATCTGTGTTTTCCAGTGGCTCTCGGCTGGTAGTCTATTAGCGTTAGCTCACCGGCTAACGCTTGGCTTTGTGTTGATGCCCACAGTGAGGCTTTTGAGGGAGCTTTGCATATTCATTTTTTATTTTTTTTTCACCGGTCGGGCAGCGGCTTTGAGCTCGTTTCTTTCACAACCAGGACGTCTCGGAGATATGAATCTAAACACAGGACACATGGCTTTCATTAGGAGCACAGTGCCATCTCGGTGTGCCTCTGTTCGACGTGGTTTTTCCCCCCTCTTCTCCTCTCGACAGCATTTTGCCTCTGTCTTTTGTGCTCGGCGCAGCGGAGCCACAGCAGCAGCCTGTTGTGTTATTCATGCAGGCCTCCCTCCCTCAGCCAGAGTGCGGAGTTCAGCATTATTTCACACACACCAAATACATGTCAACACCACACTTTAAAGCTATTATCATCGTCTTTTCTCCCAGCGTAGTCATCACCTAAGTGGCTAGTGTCAGTCCAAATAGTGCTGGAGTTAACTTTAGCTTCGTAAGATGCAGCTGCTGTGTTTGTGTTTAAGA